AGAGAGAGAGAGAGAGAGAGAGAGAGAGAGAGAGAGAGAGAGAGAGAGAGGGAGAGAAAGAGACACACACAACGCCTTTAAAGACTTTAATAAAAAAGAAAATTTGAAAAGAGAATAAAATATGTATTTTACACAGTAACATTTAAGACACGTTAAATTTAATATACATTTTCCAATTGTGTAAGAATTTTAGCAAGAAATTAATTATTTCCATGCGTCTAATTTTCAGTATATTTTCATTGAAAGATAAGGGTAGTCGTTTTCTGCTTTCAGTGTCTTACGCACACGCATCATATAGGAATAGACACACAATTGTTCGCGATTTCTCCTCTGTTAATATTACTCTTGTACAAAAAGCCAAAGATCGGCGCTATTGTACTCAGTATAATAGCTTTGATATCTACGATATTGAGATTTTACGTCACATATGCCAAAGATCTCAACAATTATGTATATTATGGCACGTCGTAAGTGAATCAATGTTTGTGTTACAGCAAGAAAAAATCGATATTATTACAAATATATATTGTTCATATATCATTCTCTCTTACGTAGAATAAGACAATTATTCGATACTGCGGATTACTCCTACACATTACCGTCGCATAGACTGACCGTTTATATCATCGGTATCTTCGCGGGTTACTTGTTGCGAAATATACCCAAGGATTTCAAACTGGGCACAGTGAGTAACATTGCACATTAATTGTCTACATACACGATACTTACGATTAGAAAAAAGACATATGCCCATTTCCACCAATGCAGATTAACTTTAATCTCGGTTCAATTTGCTCTTCGTCTTTTTCCAATTCTAAAAATTAGAAAAAGATTAACAGTAAGTTAAACCGAGATTAAAGTTAATTTGCATTGGTAGAAAACAGGCATAGTGATATATATAGCATTTATCAAGATGACAACGATAAATTATAAAATACAAGTAGAATAGTTTATAGTTAAAAACTATTTTATATGCAAAATTGTACATTAATTATAAATATAAAACTTGTATAACATTTATAATTGCTAATACTATGTCTTTCACTGAGTATGTGAATATGCTAATTTTCAACGTTTTCAGACAGCCCTCTACACGGGTTGGACTGTATGTAGCCTAATGTTTTTTGCGGCTCTTATCGGACCTTCCAAAATGGGTTCTATCAATTACGTGTACGATCCGATTCATGCAGCTACTTACAACGCGTTCGCTCCTATCGGATGGTGCGGCCTGTTTCTTTGGATAGCGATAACGCAGCACACCGGCAGTTCAGACGGTAATTATTATCGCTTTGACATTGCAAAATTAACATTTTATAAATAGCAATTATCTCCGAATAACATGTTTTGCATTATCGAATTTGCAGCATTTTTGAACAAATTATTCTCTTGGCGAGGATTTCTCGTTACTACGAGAATTAGTTATGCCGTTTATTTAACGCAATTCCCGATATTTTTTTACAATGTTGGACAAACCCGCACTGCGGATCACTACGACTTTTTAAGGATAATGGTAAGTCTTGTACTCTTAAAACAGACGTAAAATTTCTTGCCAATTTTACTCATTCATTTATAAAATTATTTACTTAAATGTAACATTTATTTTAAATGTTTACAATTTGTTTCAGCTAAATTTAAAAGAGATAGGAGGGATTCTTCTTATGTCAATAGTTCTCACGCTACTGTTCGATACACCGTTTCAAAATATAAAAAATTATATATTGAAAAAACCGATATTGAAAAAGGATATAACAATATCTAAAGTGGAATGACTTTATTTTAATTTCGTTTTAATTTTGACCAAATATTTTAGCTTGACTACAATAGCTCGTCTACAGCTTTGTATATAGCATTTTTTAAATTAAATTTTTAATAATTAATATATAATGTGTAAGAAAATTACGGTAAGATGCAAAGTATTAGAGAAAAAAAATTGAGAAAAATTATTTTACAAAAATTAGTTCAAACATTTTTTACATAGGAAAGTAGTTAGTAGAATGCACACAAAGGAAATGTACGTATAAAAAATTTTTCACGCTTTTAGAGTGAGTATATTTACTAGCACCACTTTATGTAATTAAAAATGTATTTACTACACTTTAATATGTAGCAATGATAAATATGGCCGTAAGAATAATTGTACATATTAGTTTTTCCTGTTAATTCTCGTGCAATGAACTTAACATGAAGAATACTACGTTTTGACGAATACACTCAGGCAAGATACTAGACAATACTAGATAATTCATAATGCGTACGGATTGGCATCGCATGCTTCAATCCTTTTTTAATATATAAGTAATGAAAATATAGAAGATTAATTAATAATGTATAAAATAACAAATATTTAAAAAATTAAGAGGCAAAAATTGTTGTATCTACATATCAAACATATAGATAAAAATGTAAGCAATCGTGATTAGTACGTTGACTCTGTAATGATCAAACGATTAGTTGATTTCATTAAGTACCAATGAGAGAAAACATAATGTAAAATAATTTCATGTACAAATATTTTCTGACTAGGAATAAAAAAATCATATCGGAAATCTTGGATAATAAAATGTAATTATTGTTAATAATATTAAATACGCATTTCATATAATTTTATTATCTTGTTCTTTATTTTACATATTACGTATACATCGTTCAAGGAATACAACTTACATATAATTTCTCTTGAATATAATTTTCAGTTATATTACGCAAAATATACCATAATGAGCTTACAATTAGATTAATTTATCACAATATACATAAATGTACACACAGATACAGAAAGAAACCTAAAACTTAAAATCGATTGTTCTCTCCAAACACATCACTGAAAAAAAAAGTTTTAATCTTATATACATAATGCTCATCACATAACCATATAATTGTTATATAACATTTTTTTCTCACGCCAAATGCATTTATAAAATTAAAATAAACATTATACAAAGCTGCTTTATAATATCTCATAATAACTATGACATTTTTATTATATTTACATAGTCATAAAAGTACAGCATATGCTTATATATATTTATTTTATCGATTTAGATGAAAAAGAAATTATGAATATAAACGGGCGAATAAAGTAATGTTTTGTATTATTTAATGTCAATAAAAAAATAATTTTTCAGTAGACACTTATAGTTACGTAAACACTTCATAGAAAAATTATTTCAAAGAATAATGTTTTATGTACCATCGTTTACGATCAATGTAATGCTACAAATGCTTTAAACATTATTTGATTGGTCAATAAAATTATTTTTTTTAATTGGTCAATCAAATGCTTCGAAATATTTGTAGTGAGACTTTGATCGCACCCATAGAATTGCAAACATTATCATATATGACAATTGTCTAATCCTACAACCCTTAATAGTATTCATTTGACAGATTCATTTTCATTAACTTCTTTTATAGTTGTAGTTACGTACGTTTTGCAAAAGACGGATGATATTACAAGAAAGCTCTAAACTGAGGCTGTTTTAGCTGAAAATAAAAGCATAAAACAATAACTGAAAAAAACAATATTTGAAAGAAAATTAAATATGTTAATAAATAGAATACAGTTCTTGTAATCATCCCCACTGAATAAAGTAATTTTTAAATACACTACAACTTTTAATTAGCAGCACCATCTAATGTATTTAATTATGCTATTTTATATAAATAGAGTCACATGTTTGATAAGAATATGTATATATGCAATTAATATATATTGCAATAACGCATATGTATGCGTTATCAATTATAAACTAGTTATAAATGCATCAGTGGTACAGCAATATTATTGAGTACATGCAATGTATTGCATAGTACAGAATCAAATAGATGCTGAAATAATTTTTCAAATAAATTTCATAAATTAGAAACATAAATAGAAATATAATTTTCCTATCATATATCTTTATATACCATAATTTTACACATCTAATTATATGTATGGCATTAATAGAACTGATTCTTATTATATATGAAGCATATAATATCAATAAAACTGTTAGCCTCTCAGAATAAAGCACATTATTAAATTGATAGTTAAATTGCAGGTAATCTAAGAATTAGTTAATAGAAGTTTAGTAATTAAAAGTACATGCAGTTTATTCTGCACATATCTGTTAAATAATTACTGACAAAATAAATTTTTATAGGATATCTACTTCTTAGAAATATATCAATATATATTTTAATACGTAATATTTCATATTACGTTATTTGGCTTAAATGTAATCATTAGCATTTTTTCAATGTTAGATCATAAGCAGAGAAATGTCTGTAACATAAGATTGTTTAATTACATTAAAACAGATATTTGGTTATCACTTCTTATAATATTATACTACATTACAATATCAAATCATAAATACCTGTTATATCTCTTAGATTTTGGCTTATAAATCCAGAAGTTTAAGAGAAATCTCTGTTCTGGAAAATAGCAGGCGCTACCAATGACCATACATAAAGACCCAAACACATCCATGAAGAAATAATTTTCACCCACATTGAAGCATTGTTTGCATTTAACGTTTCCAGACTGGAGTTTGGTCTATTAAAAGTATCAATAAAGTGACATTGATGGATATTAAAACAAATATAATTTAACATTGTAACATTGTAGATACGTACTTATACCAATTAGTGAGTGTCATCATAACATATAAAGTAGCAAGAGCAAACATGAGATGGAAGAAACTCCAATTATATGCCACTTTTTCTTCTTCATTGTCCCAAACCTTAGCGTCGTTTCCACCTTCTGCATCGGGATTACGTCCTTCTACTGCAGTATAATCTGGTTACATTTAGGAAAAAGAAAAATAAAAAAGAAAAAACTATTAAGCTGCAAATAAAAATACTGAACAAGCACTGGCTTTTATAAATGTTTCTGACAGCATGCTGTAAGATGTATAGATGTTTTTTCATTATATACGTACTAAAATTAAAGGAAAAATTATAAATTAACTTGCAGCATGTAATACTTAATTTTAATATTATAAAAATTATACTGTAACGTTTATTACATAGTAACACACAAAAAAAGGAATAAAGGTAAACACACACTAATTAAACAAAAAATCTAGTTATTTCATACTGTATAATTATAAATATAGAAAATATATTTTTAATCATTTATATGTAAATTAATCAATAACTTCATCTGTGCAAATACTCAAATGTATAAATATATTATTTTAAAGATAGAAATGCAAATAACAAGATTCAACTAGAAAATCAATTCTACTTGTAAAATGTGTGTGCTTACCTTCATTGCCGATAAGAGACTGCTCTCCTGCAGTCCTGACTATAGAAAGATTGAGAGATAGTTTAGTACAAAGAAGTGATAGATACCAATGTATGTGTATTCAAAAAGATACTTGCATGAATAGTGAAAGTTTTTAAAAGGAAGAAAACCTATATTAGACTAGAGATTAAGACTGCAATTGAACTGGAATTTGATAAGAAGAAAGAAAGCCAATATCAAAAAGCTTAGAAAGCTTTGTTTTGATTGGTCAAATTTAAATTCATCTCAATCTTAATCTCTAGTTTGATACTGACAGAACAGCACGCTTTCATAAATGTAAAGTTATTAAAATGCATATATACATACAATAAAAATCATCTAACTAATATTTACCAGCTCCATTATCCTGAACTAATACATTTTCAGACATTGTAATCTTTGATGATTTAGACGCTGTACGTAAGGAACTGTATAAAACGCAACTAAACCATATTATTAGTCCAATAATGCTTTCCTTATCGAATGCAACACGATTTTGTGTATTGACATCATGACTCGAGATGCCAGGAATAAAACCAGGGTTACACGCAAGATCTGTAAATTCAAGTAATAACAAATCGAGAATAAAATATGGATTGCTAATTAAAAGCTTCCATCTCAGTAATGAGTAAATGATCGATATCTACCTGGGCTGTTTGATATACCACTCCATGTTAAGTATATCACGTATAATGTTACCACAGAGGACTGAAGCAGTCCAGATCGTGGTTGATGTTCTTGTACAGCCGGTAAAATTGATATAATACTGGTAATGACGCACAAAATCAAATTAAACGAAATGAAAAACTTATTCATAGCACACGAACTTTGCTGTAAATACACAAAAAAAAGCGAGTAATTATATTCTATGTCTTAAAGCGGATATTTGTCTTAAAGCTAAATAAAGAAACATAGTTAATAATCTTACATGCGTATAATATACATAAAGTAACACCACTCCAGTAATAGAAACGGCATAATTGAAGACAGATGCACCTAACAGAGCAACGTACCTAAAAGTATATATTTGATAACAAAAGTACCTAAGTCACATGATTGCACAATTTATGTTGCTACAAAAATGGTCTTTACCATCCTTTTGACTCGGTTTCCTCATAATTTCCTACCCAAGCATCAGCCCAAGAATGAGCGAAATCAACAATTAGAATCAGCTGAATAATTATAAAGAGAAAACCTCCCAACATCCCAAAATACATCCAAGTAGATCCGAATGATCGTTCTGGGATAAAGAAAGCGCCAATGATTCCACCAATTATCAAAAGATACTTGATTGCCCAGAATCTAAGAATTTCACGTAAACATCACTAGTCAGTTTTAAAACGCCATACTGTAATCATATGTCAATTTAATTTACCCATTTTGTATAGCTGCCCGTGGATCGCGTGAACTTTTCACCCTGATCATTATCACAGACATCAAGAAAAAGTACAAGGAAAGAATGAAGCATATTCTATAAACTGCTAAATAACCAACTGCAGACTCGCAGTAGAGAATGACCTCCGATGGAACATAATTAGAGCTGTTTGCGCAGAACGGAACCTGTTTAAAAAATCACAATATTAACGCGATTCTTCTTTATTTCAAACCGCGTTCAGCAGAATTTATTTATTTTGAGTTTTTTTATGCTTATTTAATTACACTTTTAGATCTAAAGAAGCAATCTTATCCCAGAAAAGAAAACTTCCAACAGAGTTAGAAAATAAACATTCTGCTGAACATGACCATTGCTTCCAACATTACCTTTTTAAGAGCATTTTGAAGACCAGGAGCCAAAGTGATGCAGGCTGCAATAGTTCCCAGCAACAAGAGCAGCGCATACATGATGCGAGTGCTCGTGCTGTTTCTGCATGAGGGACATTGAGAGCAGCAGAAGCTGCAAGCTGTGCTTCCGCACAAGCACGCAAGCTATGTGATAAAAGAGAGCAATATAGAGCCCTAATGCCAAATAAATTAATAAAACAAAAATATACAGTAATAATAAACATTTCACATATAACTCTTATATTTTGACAGTGTTAAAACATTTCTATTGTGCCATATAAAGAAATCTTTAAAAATAGCCCTAACATACTATGTAAAATCAATATTAGATATATGTCTATCAAATAACAAATATGACGACATAATTAGATATTCAATGACTCACTCATGCCTCTGCAAGATTTTTTATATATCAAGAAATATTAAATTAAAATTGATTTAATTGCGTTAAAAGAAAAGATTAAGTGAAAGATGTCTTTGTCCACGGAGACAATAAAACAAACATGGTGATAATCCCCAAGATCAACAATGGAATCTAACTGCAATCGCGGCAAAATTATAATAAAACACTGCTACGAATAATCTCAACAGAAAGCTGATTTTGATGAGCAAAGAGAACAGCAGAAAGGAAAAATCTACGTTACTGAGGATGAGTCAGATATGCGAGTTATATCCGAGGCCTACCTGAGCCGTTGAGCATACGAGACCCATGGCGATTTTCTCCCGTCCGGGCTATCGAGGGAGAACCAGGGAGAACGACGGAGCAAATTTTGTCTCGAGGGACGAGACTGGAAGAAACTCGGAAAGTGGAGGCGATCAAAATAGAACGAATAGAGAACGAGTCACGGAAAACAAGAAACGCCACGGGGAGGCGCAACAACAATAGACGAACTATCTGCTGCTCGCAGGCAACTTCACGCGATCAGCTGACCGCAACGTCAGAACGTCACAACTCGCCGCCTCGCGGCGCACTTCGCGCGGCTCCGACGTCAATTGATTGGTCGAACGCGCGGCGGCGCGGCGACGACTCGTCAGTCAACAGTACTACAGTGCTGGCACTGCTGGCAGCCGCTGACGACAGCACAGTTTGGTGTTCGGCCACGGTGACCCGCAATTGTGCGCGTGTACGCGCGTTGTCATCACCGCTAAAAAAAAAACAAGGAGAGAACACAGAACTGGACGGAATACGCACACATCGATGCTGCAAGTATAAGAGACCGATTGCTTAGAATTACTGCAAACGAAGCTGACACTGCACGCTCGTTGTCTGATTGTCGCGCGATGCCTAAACGCATTAATCCTATTAATTGATTAAATTTTCCTGAAACGAAGCTTTACAGCATGCAAGACATAGCTATATTGACGTGTACTCGATAGCAGGGTGTCGGCCACTTTGAGGCCTGTGAGAGTCGAAGGGCTAACAATATATAAGCTTGACCTCTGAGACACGAGTGAGAATCTCTCTGTTATGATAATATTAATAAAATATGTGCAGATATTGTGGTTTTAATTCTGTCTCATGTACTCGGTCGATTTAGCGAGGAGGTATATTCGTTGCATTTATTTGCATTAATTTGTGTTTTTAATACAATACATAATGTTACGTATCGTGTTTCTAACTTTAGTCATAAATGCGGATAAATGCAGATGTAAATCCTATACATATTTCATGCCGATATATTATTGAAATTATTTCAAAAACTTGATCTCGTATATCTGCAGCTTTTTCTTATGAAATCCCGTGTTTCTTTGACGAAAGTTTCTAAACATTTTTTATGTAACACTTTTCTTCTAGACAGAAAAAAAATGTATTAGTAGCATTAAGCCAATAGCAATATAATTATACTGTTTATTATTCAATAACAGAGTTAATGAAACAAAAAACATTTTATTTAAAACAAGAGCATATTTTTGTTTCATTATTACAACTATTGAATTAATAAGATTATTTTCAATTAAACTATTATTGGCCAATGCTGCAACATTTTTTCCATGTAAAAACTTTTTCTGTAATTATGAATTCGGACTCGAACTGCACTAGTTTACATTAAAGACTGCTTTATATAAAATATTTAAATACTGTGACATATATATATATATATATATAACTTAATCAACTTTGAATGAAATAATACATGTATATTCTGTTAAATAACGTAATATTATTAGATATTTATTTAAAATATTTATATAATTTTATATTTAACTTTAAACTCTATCGAAATAAATCACATGTAAAATTAAATAACGAAATCATATAATTAAAACAAGTAAATCACGTAACGAATTGTCCTAAATCACAGTACATGATTTTTTAAAATTACATAATTTGAAAATTACATGATATATTAGAAATAATTTCGTCTGTTATATGATTTTATAGTTATCGAATTTTAAATAATTAAATGATAGAAATAGAAAAAAACATATTACCGTGTAACTTTTCAAATTACATGATTTTAAAAAATTACGTATTGATTTGGAACAATTCGTTACATAATTTACACATTTTAATTACGTGATTTCATTATTTCATTTTATGACACAATTTTTTTTAGTAGGATACTATTTCGATGTATAGCAACTTTTAATATAATGCACTAATATGAGGCCTGTTCTTTATTGAAGAACTTTTCAAACTGGTGCACACGGTGCAATAAGTTGAAGAGTGAAACAAACTATTGTGTTTTATATCAGTTTATTCCACACCGATGTGCATCAGTTCAGAAAGTTTATCGATAAAAAAATAGACTATAATTTATATGTGATTAAAAAAATTCGCTATAAGAAAAATTTTGCAATCAATTCTTAACGCTTTATATTTTTTTGTAAATGATATCTAATAATTGCGGAAGTATACAAACAATTGTATATAATATCTATGACTTATTGCAACAACACTTCATAAGTATTGCAATTTAATATAGTTCTTATATTCTTATTTCTGGTTTCGTTTTTTTTGTCAGTACAGAGGGATTTATGAACATGCTATACATAGAACTAATTAGCAGAAACTAATTTTTATTGAAATATTTATGAAATTTTTCCATCATAAAGTTTTTTGTAGGAAAAGTTCAATATTACCGTTTTATTAAGCATTCTTCTTTCGCTCTTTTAAAATTATATTTCTTTTAAAATGTGTTCTGAAAACAAAAGTAAAGTTTTTGTGTCATTTTTTTATTTTGGAATTTAATTTATCATACTTAATGTCACGAATGTGACAATTTCAATTTCTGTCGTCTTTTAATTCTCGGTTACAGGCTTCTATGAATATTTTTAAATATGCATACTAAAATGAACCGTACTGTAATCTGCACATTTTGCTGCACAAGATTGAGCTATGTTTAGATTTTGAATAAACGGCTGTTCCATGAGAAACGAGAGCAGAATGCGGCCAGTTCTACTCCTTCGTATATGGATAATTGATTTTCATAATGGTCACATAAGTGCGTGGGTTACACTTTTGTCAACAATTATAAAAGCTCATAAATGTTATCTTATCGTTATGAATCATTCTTCATACGACATTTCCCTACAGAAAACACGAGATATGACTTGGTCGTCGTGGATAATTAAAATGCAGCTAAAAAATAATTCATTTCTCACGTTTATCAACTTTAATAACTTTTATGCACGCATGTCGCTGTACGGTAATTTATGTTTACCGTATTGTTTTAAAGATGAGAATTAGATTGGTCATTTTATGCAACGTTGTATATATGACGTGTACCTACAGAAGTCTCGGAATTCTTCCAAGATTTACTTATCAATTTTGTTAAGACATACGATAAAGAAACAATAAGAAATTCATGAAGAAGTTGATGTATATATTATAATAATCTCGAAAAGAAATAACAAATAATATTTTTTAAAAATGTAAACACAATATTAAATACGATAATAGACAAAATTTTGCAGAGCCATTTAACGCTTTACAATATTACTCTGCAAATAGTGTTTATTGATTGATTGGCTTATAACAGCAATATTTTACACGACAATATATTCTTATTCTATCCGTATTTTTAATGTTTCGGTATACGGATTTGTAAAAACTTAAAATGTGTTATATAGAATTAATTAATAGAAAACTTTAAAATAATTTTTCCAAAAACTTGCACAAAAAATCTATCATATTCACAGCAACTTCAGAATTTATTAAATTAAATATCTATATATATATATATATATTAATGTAATAGATTTCAAAAACTTGGTTTTGAAATTATAGTATGTTACATAAATCTTGTTTTCAATTATCATTAAAAATACATGTATATATATATGAGCGAAAACAGAAAAGTTTCACTGTGCCTCGTATTGTACATATTTCAAGTATTCTTAATTCCGTATTGCAATAAAAATTATCGACGTGTGTTTCTTATTTTGGTTGCAGAGGATACATAAATTTATCGTGCTTGATGTGTCACGTATCAAGGTTGCTGCATTGGTCCAACCATCAAATTTTATGTCCTCTCTTGATCTTAAAGGTCACCGCGAATTACGTTGATATGATCTAATGCGCGCATAGATACTCTAGCGACTACGCAGTCGAGCAATTTCAAAGTAAAATCCATTTAAGCTTGGCACCTACGAGATCTTGACTTGATTACTTTAGTTATGCTAATGGATGTTAATGAGAACCAACAAATGCACATAATTGATTTATGTCATGCTATTTGTTCTATTAATAAGAAATTAAATGGTGATTTAATTTATTATAACTTAATATATTATCTACATATGTTGTCTGAGCTTTTCGAAAATGTAATTTATTCGTAAAATTGTGTACTAAAACACCTTAAATTACTTCACAATAAAAATGTTTGCGCATTTATCATTTGCAGAAAAATCAAGATCTGATTGATAATATTCGATATAAGATTTGAGAATAGGAACTTTAAGACAATGGAAGGGGAATCAGAAAATAATACTCCTAATAAAGATTCCAAACCAATTACTTGGCCGTATATGAACGTCAGCTCGCTAACTATATCGTTTCTGACTAAACTGGCGGCGGCTGGTATTATCTGGGGATGGGGATACTTCAACTACAGCATAGCTTGGTTGATCGCGCCAATCGCGTTTTCCGTATGGAAAGCAGAACGGAAAAGGGACAACGAATTAAGAACGATTACAGCACAAGCTAGTGTTCTAGCTAAAGAAAAAGAATTAATCATCAGTCGAATGAATGAATTACCCTCATGGGTGTATTTTCCGGACTTTGATAGAGCCGAATGGCTAAACAGAGTATGAATTTTTCTCGTGTTATATTCTAGAAATTATTTTTTATAAAATATAGATATTAAACTACTTAACAGTTTCAAAGAAAAATATTTTTCAATAATAATTATTATAATTTTATATCCTACACTTTCAGATCTTATATAAGGTTTGGCCAAGTATGAATCAGTTTGTCCGTCAGCTGTGTAAGCAAACTATAGAACCGTCGATTGTTGAAAAACTAACTGAATATAAAATTAAAGGTTTCCAATTTGACCGGCTAGTTCTAGGTCGCATTGTGAGTTTATTTCAATTCTCTTAAAAATTACGCAGCATTTCTTTTTTGTGTGTATATTTCTATTTTATAATTTTTACACTTTCTAAAATCTGTGTAAAATGATTTTTTACAGCCACCAAAAATTTATGGGATCAAAGTATATGATAAAAATACCTCAAGAAATGAAATCATCTTAGACGCAGACATTATGTGTGTACTCTAATCTTTTGTAAAATATATTAATATCTGAAAATCATCTATTTCAACGATTATTTTTTATAGGTATGCTGGTGACTGTGATATTACCTTTTTCGTTGGAAACATCAAAGGTGGTATTAAAGATTTTCAAGTAAGTATATTAAAGGCCAATAACAATTATGAAAATTTTCTGCAGTTTTTAATAAAAACATAAAAAATTTCAGATACATGGTTTAGTGCGCGTTGTTATGAAACCTATGCTGCCCATGATACCGTTAATAGGAGGTGTACAAATATTCTACTTGAATGTTCCTACTATTAACTTCAATTTAGTAGGAGTGGCTGATGTATTAGATCTACCTGGATTCAAGTATGAATTTTTTTATATAAAAATCTTTCTTTCTAAAACTGATATAACAAGTAATTAGTATTATTAATTGAACATAAGAATACCAAACAAAAGCATGATGCATTTTTCAGTGAAATTTTAAGAAAGACAATCGTTGAACAGATATCAGCCATACTTGTATTGCCAAACAAAATAATTATACCCTTAAGCGAAGAAATACCTATGGAGTCTCTAAAAATACCCGAACCTGAAGTAAGTTCTGCAGAAATGTTTTTGTATGTTATATTCTTACTCTTTTTTTTATAATTAACATTGTAATTTTTTTATTTTAGGGTGTTCTAAGAATTCATGTTGTAGAAGCAAAGCATCTGATGAAAAAAGATATTGGAATGCTAGGTAAGGGCAAGTCTGATCCGTATGCCGTTATAAATGTTGGTGCCCAGGAATTCAGAACGAAAACAATTGACAATACTGTTAATCCAAAATGGGACTATTGGTGCGAGGTACGTATGATATTTATTAAACAAAACAAATTCTTAAACAACGTTTAATGCATGTGCTTTATCGTAATTTATCGATATATAATTTTTTAAAAATGATACAACACAAGGTCTTCCATATATGTGGTAAGAAAACTATTTTAACAATTTACAAAATAAACTATTCTAAGAACTTCCTACAGACAGTCTATTGCCCTTCATGTTACTCCATTTAGTTGATGATATAAATGAGATATACCACTCTCTTGCATTTAATTTTCTTGTGGATAAGTATATTTTATATAATATTTATAAATATTTATAATACATTGCTGATCTAGAGGTCTCTAAATAATCAACTCTGCTTTCTCACATAATTTACATATACATATAAATTCTAATCAACCGCAAACATATTTTTCCACGATTATATTTCCTATTTCCTGTTACTCGTAGTAGTGGTTAATGTTGCCTTTCCCGGACTGCAATTAGAATACATTTTAATCTTTCTATGTTAATATAATTTAATTTTATAAGTTGGTATGTATGTGTGTATGTGATGTGCAATATATTATATGGGATTAGTGTGCCGTGACTTCAGCCATCGCGCAACAACTGACTGTACTGCTGTGGGACTATGATGACACAAAGGGCGATGAAAGTCTTGGAAGGTATAGTTATATATAACATTATGGATTTTTCTTATTTCATTATTCATTCCAGATTTCATATCATTACACAGGGACGAATATTCAAAATTAGAAATTCTATAATATATATATATAACAAAATTATTTCTTATTGTGTTTATCGCGTGTACAATTTTTATTACAATTAATATGTAAGTCAAATGAAATTATTTATTAAATTCATTCGATTTAAACCGATAAGAATTATAACAATTAATTCGATTTATTTTATTGATCTATGGGAAAAGCTTCTATGGAAAAGCTTCTGTGGAAAAGCTTTTGTTGCATGATGTCATAATGCTAATGTGTGATAATATTTATGTTGTTAGTCTGAGTATTGTTGAGTGATATATGGGTGCATGTTGGGGTTTTTTTAACTTTATATTATTAATTTTCCTTACTAACACTCTGTATTGGATACATAAAAAATAAAATCGTCATGTTGTGAAATATAAATATTGCAATCATTGTTCAGATTAAATTCTGTACATATCATGTTTATTGGCCAGTATTCATAGTCAATTCTTATATTCAAAATCGTCAGTCTTAAGATGTCACGAACCAATCAAAGGGCTGCATTCGCGTCTTAAGACATTACTTAAGACAGTCTTCAAATAAGAACTGACTATGAATACCCCGGTCTATGAGATTCATAATACATATACTTGGCACACATTTGATATTTATATGGTACAGCAATGTAAAGCACCAAAAGAAAAATAATAAGCAGTACAATAAACTATATGATGATATACAGGGTGTAACTAAAAAGACGTACATGGAGCATACCATGAGCTACAGGACAAGAATCCAAGTAGAAAAGTTCTGAGTTATTTTTTGATGTAAGCTTTTAGTTTCGTTGTTATACGATGTTAATTACAACCGCTTCGCTACACGGAGACAATTTTATATTTAAAATTATTATAATGTGGTAGAAGCTGCAGACCATCGTGCAATTATAAGTTTAAATGATATAACCAATTTTTTTTTAATAATAATATAAAGTAATTTTTACTCTTTTTTATAGTAAAAAATGTTTACTACAAAATTACACCTTGTTGAATAAAAGTTAGTATTATAAAGATAAAAAATATATATAGCAAATATTATTTGCGTACCATAGTAAAAGTTAATTCTTTCCATGGCTTAAGCACTGGATTTAATAAAAAAATATTTCATTTATGTGATAAAATTAGTATTATCACAGTAAAAGTTATGTCGGAATATTGTTGTGAGGGTCCATCCGAAAATACAAAATATAGTAAAATGTAATTTAAAATTGTATTAAAACTCAATATAAAATTTTCTCCGTGTACTCATCGTCGTTTTCCCGCCGCGAATTCGTCAGCTCCATTCCGCCTTGCTACGTTCTTGTTTCCTTTTATACTCGGGCGCTAATTCGCTAACTTCAATCATCGTGTAACAACGAACTAAGAGTTCAGATCAAAAAATGATTCAGAACTTTTCTACTTGGATTCTTGTTCTGTATTTCATGATATATTCCTATACATTTTTTTAGTTACACCCTGTATAATTGCCATAAGAAAACCTGTCACTTTTATATTTGTTATACAATATGATATTAACATACAGGCTATGATCAGTTCATGCAATATGCAAGAAGCTGTGGTATCTCTTTGGGATTGGGATCCCAATGTCCCAGGGGTACAATATGATGATTTCCTTGGCAGGTAGTAATATTATACTTGAATGAGATAATGTTTTCATTATTAACAAAAATATATAGACAGATTTGGATGTTACATTTTAAGCATGTTGTTTAGTCACGTGATATTTGTCTTTGTAGTACAATGTCTTTGTGGTACAATGTCTTTGTAGTACGTTATCTATGTAAATAGTAAAATAATCTCTTTTACCTATCACTATTTTAAAGGATTTATTTCACTAATGCTGCAAATATTATAGCTTGTTAAACGCGCGTTGCACGAAAATTTTCTAGTTTATACCTACATTTTTTTTATTTTTTTAAAATAAAATAAACGTTTTATAACTTTTCAGAGCTATATTACTTTTTAATTTTCTTTAAAATTTTTTCTATATTCCTAATTTTTTAATGTATCTATTAATAGTCTGTGTAAATTTCATTTGTTGTTAAATAATTATAATTAAATGAAATAATTTGCTGTTGTTTGATACCTTTTTTATAACAAAAATTATCGTATGATTAATGGTTTGGTCTTTTCTGTTAGTTAATTAATCAGAGTGATTAGGTGACTTTGTTTAATAAGAAAGGCAACTAAAATAGACTATGTGGTGACAGTTTATAGTGGAAGAGGGCTTGGGAGCTTACAACACGGTGGTTGCCCAGCTCTTTGACAAAGACAACGCTGCTCAAGATGATCCACTTGGCAGGTATTCCTGAATGTAGCAAATACACCAATCTCAGATCAGAGTAATAATGTATTTTAAGAGACTTGTACAGAATGTAAATTATGCGAATACTCTGCCACTGACTCTTAGATTATGCTTGAAAGACTGCATTTTTCTTATTATATGAATTACCTCTGAAATACTACGGCACACTTAAAAGTATTTCAAACGTAAACATTCATCACATATTTGTGATGTGCATGTCGTTTACTCAGAGATAATAAAAAATATGATATATGAAAAATATTGTAAAATAGTCGTGCCAATTGCAATTCGGAATTAAAAATAATTCTGAATTCATGTCACCACATTACTCTCGTTACGTATTAAGCGAATATTGAGAAGTCTATTTTATTTACGCAATGAAATAATGCTATGGAATGTTGCATGCAGTTTTATAAACGTATATAACAATAATATTTTTATATTATTTGACAAAATCAGAAATACAGTAGAAATAATATGCTGCATGGAAGCTTCCTAAATGCAAATTGTATCACAGATTTTGCATATTCCAATCACAGATCGAGATGTTTCTCTTATAAATTTAATAGTCATGCTGCTATCATCACATCATTGCAAAAAGCACATATCTAAACTTTATCGAAATAATTATTTACACTTGAAAATTTAATGAATATTTATTATGTATAATTTAAGAGTTTTGAAAACACCTATTATTTTGTATTCTGACAGGGCCACTATCGAAGTTAATCGAGTAAAGAAAAAGGGTACGATCGATACGGTAAGTATGAAATGTATTATATATTATACAGAATCAAGACAAACCTATTATAGTATAATTGGACGGGAGATTGATTTCTTGTACATAAATAAATCGGAAGTACAGAATAAACTTTTTCTGTGTTTGAGGCTTTGTTATAAATCATTTCTTTCTTAATAAATAAATGAAATTTAACTATTATATATTTACCTCATTTTCTTCAATTGCCATTCGTGATGCCATCTTCAAAGTGCACGCGTATTTTTGTAATGTTCAAACTTGATTTTTTCGAAAACAAAACTTTAAATGGAAAAGATTTATTCTGTACTTTTGATTTATTTTTGTGCAAGGAATGTCTGGTTGTACATACCATAGATTTGTTCTCATTTTTTGTGAAATCTTTTTTTATTACTATTAATTGATTTTTTTATTTCTTATTTTATAGTGGGTCTCTTTGGAACAAGCAAAGCACGGTATGGTTCATTTGCGATTAACGTGGCTACAATTTTCAAAAGATTCTGCCGATTTAAGAGCTGTAAGTACCAGAAAACGTTTGTATTCATATATTTGAATATACGATCTTTAATTGATAACTTTTGTGCAGGCTTTAGTGGAAACTCAGGAACTTAGAGTCACATCGATGAGTACAGCCCTTCTCATACTCTATGTTGATTCTGCTAAAAATTTACCAGTATGTACATCGTGATATGTAAAAAAGCGAAAGTTACCTAATAAAATTTCGAACGTCATTATACTCGTAGTGTATTCGAGGAAATAAACAACCCGATGTTTACTTGGAAGCAAGTGTCGGTGGAAAGAAAGAAAGGACAGCCACTGTACCACGTTCTTGCGATCCTGTATGGGAACGAGGATTTACTTTTTTAGTTAGTAATCCTGAAACTGGAGTTTTACACATAAAGGTATTTTGCAAATTTTCTCTTTCAAATAATATGAGATATAAGATTTATCATTATTCAACAAATAATTGTACGTTTTCTTCTTGTTAGATTATAGACGAGAAAACTGCCATGACAGTTGGGGAAATGAGCTATAATCTTTCCCTACTTTTGGAGAAGAGTAATCTTGAGGTGATGCAACAACCGTATGATTTGCAAAAGGCCGAAGTGGAAAGCAAGCTTGTACTATCAATGGCATTAAATGTAACAGGACATTTTATATACGCATTTAAGGGAACTCTTTGTGCCAGTGAGTAAAACAATTTGTTTTACAGATATTGAAATATGAGCAGCCTGAACCCACTTCCGAGGAAGACGAAGATGATCATGACATCAATGAATTGAATAAACGAATCGAACGTCAGGAATCTACCATTAGTAATGTATTTTCTTCTAGTGGTAAGTGGAATTGTGTCAAATTTCACGTTTTTCGATCCAGCAAAATAATTTGTTAATTTAACAATGTTAATGAAATTACATCATGCTCTTGTTTTAATAAAACTATATTTGTGTCATTAATACTGTCACTGAATAAATAAGCTTATTTTTAATTAGATTGCTGTTGGCTAATGTTATTAATACATCATCTTTTTCCGTGTACGAAAGTTGAGATATACTACTTTCTTATAGTACCACCGAGCCCTCTTAAAAAACAGCCTTCGAAAGAATCAGTCATTAGTCAAACTCGCAGTACTGGATCCGCCGGAGCACTTTTGCCTGAGGAAGCAACAGCGGTGGAAGAAGAATTAATAGTTAGCACCAGCGCTCCGTCCTCTTTTACCGAAAGCCCTCGGCTTATCCATAGAAATCTGAGTATTACGTCGTCCTCGGGCGAAGCAAAATTAGGAAGAATACAATTGACTATACGATACAGCACGCAGAGACAGAAACTCAGTATCTTCGTACACAGAGTTGCGTAAGTTAATCTCAATTAACCAAATACATCTCGTATTCATTACAATTGGCTTGATGTTGACATCTCTGTCATGTACAAATGTTATGTTGCAGTAATCTGCCGCTTCCCCAAAACGATCCACACAATATACCAGATCCATATGTAAAATTATATGTTTTGCCGGACAAACACAAGGAAACGAAGCGCAAAACTGCTGTGATCAAGGATAACTGTAATCCCCAGTTCGACGAGCAATTCGAATATGTGGTCTCGCAGGGAGATTTAAATACACGAGTACTAGAAGTGTCTGTATGCACACAAAAGGGTTGGCTGTCTACCGGAAGCAACGTAATGGGACAGGTTCACTTGAAATTGAGCGAAATCAACATTTCGAAGACAGTCACCAGTTGGTACGACTTACAACCGGAAATCAAAGACTAGAAAAAAAGAAAAAGTAAGTGGGGATTCGAGCGTTTGTGCGTTTGCGTGACGAAACAACCGCTTAAATTCCCACTTAATAATTTTTACAAACGATGAAAGTCTCAAATGTTATAATTACCTCTATATTCCGTTGACCATTATTGTTAAATTGACAATTTATTAAGGTAAGTTAATACGTGGTGCTATGCGAGACGCTAGACGTCTTGCGAGAAACGATAAAAGATATTATTTAAAGAGATTCGTACTTACGCGCGCCTAATGGCATGAAATGATCTGATATATGTTGCTGCAGCGGTAAAGCAGGGGCGAGTTGGCTTGGTAGCTAATTTAGTAATTTCAAATTTTCTATATACAATAAAATATTTTAATATGACATACGCGCGAAAAGATCGAAATTCAAAGGTTTCATATATGTTGTTATCTTGTTTCTCAAAATGTGCCTAAAATGGTTAAACGCTGGCCGTTTAATTAAAGGATTCATTTGGTATTCGATGCATATTATAATATTATATATTCGTAAGTCTCAATGAATGAGATAACTTGCAAGAATATACATAAATGATTAAATATATTCGCGTAAAGGAATTGAAAATTTCTCTTGCTTTAATGCTGATCCGCACACCTGATATATAATATATTTTGTATTTTATGTTTGTACGATGAAGTTGCATAAAATGTACAATTATGTGCAGACACTATTATTGAATGATCTGAATAATACACTTCTCAACAAAATTAAAGGATCACTTGTTCCACCCTGCAAAAATAGGCAAACTTTGAGATAGAATAACTTCGTCAAAAATCATCGTATCGAGATGTTTAAAAAAGCATTTTAAAGCTTGAAATCTCTACTTTTCAGACGTCTACTTCAAAAAAAGGTCTTACTGATATTTCGTGAAGTTGCACAATCATAAATAAAAGTGTGTCAAACCTAAGAATTTTTTACAAAATTTGCCAAGTTTCACGGAGCCAAGTAAAAATTGTGCACAATTGCGGTTTACAGCTTTCGAAAGAGTGAATCTTTACCTTCAATTTACTTTTTTGTTGAGCTCTGTACGATTTTTTTTCACCGAGTTATTCAACGTTGAAGTAAAAAGGCCATTTTTTGAGAAGTGTATAATAATGTAATACATACATATATAACGCATAATTAATTTATATGCTTATGAAAATTAGTTACGTAAGTTAATGTTTTTGCGATGTTGTGTTCCATGTTCTTTTCTTTATTATGTTCCAATACTGTTTGGTTACTAATAAAGTTAAATAATGCATTTACTAATTGCACAAGCAATTAAATGGATCCCAGGAAAAAATTTTATATATATAGACATATTTTATGTATAATTATATATAATTGTACATAAAATGTCATGTTTATATATAATTTCATATAATATAATTATATATGAAACATTTTTTCCGGGTAAATATACTAATATTTAAATAATTCATATTTTATAAGATACACATTGATACATCAGTATGTTTTTAATATGGCACTCTTGAAAATCAAATTGTTATATATGCGCTTTACATTTGTATTGAAGATTTTGCTACATTACACAGCCATGGCCATAAATATAAAGCATCTCCACGAATTGATATAAACATTCTATATTTAACAAAAATATTAAAAAACAGCTTTATTAAAAAATAATATTTATTTTTATATAACAATTTTAATATTTTATTAATTTTCGTTTGACACTTTTATTACTATCTTTTCCAAGGAAATACAATAAATTGAAAGTGCTCTATATTTATAATCAAGGCTGTACATACATATATACACACATAAATAATATATCTATGTATCTATATTTTGTGACGGACGACTTCGTCAATAGTGTCACAAATTGTTGAGAACAATAAATATTATGTGCATTGTCAACGTTCGTTACTTTGTATACTAATATGACAATTCCAATTGCATTATATAGTTAATTTTTAAAACGATACTTCTACATATCTGTTATCGTAACATTTATCGAAAATATTAGTTTAAAATATTATATGAATTAATCTATTGTAACTGAAGTCTCTACATCGGAAATCAGATAAGAAGCTGCTATCTTTTCGTAAAAAATAGTCTTGCATTTTTCCCCGCGTATTACCGTATAGATCCAACGGTCACCAAGGAAACTCAGTGATATAATGTGAATATGGTATCGTTCATTATCAGTAACATTCTCACAGTACGAAGTTTTTATATCAAGCGTGTATTCTCTTTGCGCCATTTGCAACGAATTTATAATTCAAGTAATAATTTAACTGTGAATTGATAGAATTTTTATCAGTATGCAACGGGCATCGATGTTACCTTGTCTCCCAGGATTTAGCGTCGACAAAAATGTGAGTAATTTTGTATTCATGACATAATAGTGACGCACGGTATCGTCAAGATTTCACGTTATTACTAACACTATTATGTTAAAAAGCATAAACGTATTGAAGTATAGCTCACGTTAATGTAAAATATAGGCGCAATATGAAATATTAGTGCGCACAAAAAGAGAAAGATTTACATCATAAATATGTCTGGCAGCTCGGTAGAACAAGATTTCACAAAAGCCAGCTCTTCGACAAGATACACAATGGAGTTTATTATTTATCTGAGAAAGCGGATACGAAAGCGTATAGCCGTTATTCGTCCATTTATCCACGAGGGGAGGAGCCAGAAATGCCGTCGTGGCTTACATATGATGGCCAAGTATGATTGACAATAAATGAGCTTCATTAAAATTGAGGCTCATGAAATTTTATACACCTTTTAAGGATTTCCGTTAACTTGATGTTTTATATAATAATTATAATAAAACGTTATATGAATGAATAAAATGAAATTCTATATAATACTTTTTACAAAATTTCTTCATCATAATATTCTAGATAATAACTGTAAAATGTGTGGATAAAATTTAGAAAGATATTTTTTCTCAAACGCTGCAAATTGACTATAATTAATTCTAATTATTTTAATTGCACTTTTTAGAGACTCATGTTCAAAGCGTTTTTCCAAGAGACTGTACAAGAGAAATGGAAAACGGCTTTCCACATTCGCCTGGTGAACATAAGCTTTTTCCTAGAAGATGGAACGATGAAAATCGTAGAGCCGTCCGTGGACAATAGTGGTCTTGAGCAAGGTTCAACGGTGCATTTCATTTTCGTAATTCACTTAGCGGCATGACATTTTATTTTTTGCATCTTATTACGCTTTTACCTTAGAAGAAAAAACGAAGCAGGAATAGGCGTTTTTAATTATTATTGATGTAAAATGATATGTACTGCAATTGTATTAATTTTCGATATGGAAGGTGTTTTGGTCAGACGCCAAAGGATACCGATTCCCGATCCAGTGAAGTACAGATATTACGATATACTCGACTTAAATGTTGGCAAGGAACCCGAGATATACGGGCGAGTGTATAAAATCGTAGATTGTGACAAATTCACGAGGCAATTCCTTAATCGCATGGGAATACCAGTGCCCGATCCGATTGATATACCGAAGGATCCGTATAATGAAATTCGAAAAGCTGTAAGTACAGAATAACGCAAATAAAACGTATGTCAACGTAAAATCACGCCTAATAAATTTTCATCGCAGATACTCTTAACATTTGATTATACAAAATTTATATTATGACGTAATATCGCAGGAGGTATTTCCAAAAAAGCCTAATCGCATGGTGGATACTCTCGGGAATTTTTTAAAGTACGATAAGCAAGTGCTGCGATTTTACGGATACTGGGACGATACCGAGAACCTTCACGGTGTTATCCATGATCTTGAACTGCATTATTATCTCTCTGATAATACAATGGAGATCAAAGAGAATGTACCACCAAACGCTGGTCGAGATTCTGGTCCAATGTTCGTTAAAAGGATGAAAATACCGAAGGTATAATACTTTTATTCATTTCTATTAATGTGGATTAACTTTAATCTCTCGGTTTAACTTACTCTTCATTTTTTTTTTTAATTCTTAAAACGAGAAGCTACTACTTACTTTTTATCCTTTTCTTGTTTCAAAAATTAGGAAAAGGTAAAGAGAGTAAGTCAAACTAGGATTAATCTATACTGATAGAAATAGACGTCAGACAAAGATGATTTTTTTCACAGATTTCATCGACGATCATCAATTTGCTATGTTAGAAACTTTGCTATCACATTGAATGATGTATTACCGTAAAATTATATGTGTCACTGTTTCAATAATCTATATTTCAATAATCTAATTTTCTACATATATTTCAAAATTGCCTTTTCAGTTTTATAGTGGCTTGCAACCAATTGGTACGGAAAATCGTTTCACGGTTCTGAATGTATTAGGCGAGAATGCAAGGCAAAGCTATTACATGGTGGATTCTTTAGATACCGGCAAGATATCTGCCGATTATTACAAAGACAATGAGTTAGGCATCGGTGCGGAGGTAAACGTTTTCGGGAGAAGAGTCATCATCACAAACATGGATGCTTTTACCAAGGAATATTATCGGTAAATTAACACAATATTTTTGTATCCTTATCAGAGCTTGATCTATATATTTCTTTAATAATCTTTAGAAGGAAGTACGGCTTGGACGACTTTACACCTCTAACGAGGCCTCGAAAAGGCGACGAAATATACCAGAAAATCGAGAGGTACATACCACCCTACAATGGTTTCGGATCTTATGAGGATTCTCTCGGAAACTGTCTTACGGTAATGCCGAAACCGCCTAAATCAGACTTCATCAAGTTTCTGTATCACGACAAGTGAGTCGCGAGCAACATGTTTCAAAAACTAACTTCTTTCCTTATTTGATTCTATTCCTTGTTGTCGTTTCAGACAGGGCTTTAATAGCCATGTCTTGAGATTTCGAGCGAAAATGATATCAAAAATCCCAGAATTTGAAGAAAGACAATTCATTATAAGAGTATTCCTCATGGACGATACGATATCTATCTTTGAATTGGCGAAGCGAAACTCAGGTATATCCATAATATTCAAGAAATTTGAAAAAAAAATTATATTCATAAGAGATTTATTCCTAATATATCGTAACATTGAAAAGTATAATTTGATAATTTTTTTTAAGTGAAGATTAATTATAGGCTGTTATAATAGCAGTAGTAAATGTATCGCATAAATATTGCATAATATATTAAATAAATTAAAGTATATAATGAATAAATTGAAGAGTGAGAAATAAAATATTAGAACAACATTAAAATGTAGCAAAATTAAATCAGGCTTTCAGAGATCCTTATTTCAAAAACGGATGCCGATAATATTACCTGGTCAAGATATTTTCACAAGCAAGAAACCGGAATACTACAAATCACACGATTTTTATATAGGAGCACGCTTAAACCTGTACGACTTTCATTTTGAAATTATGTCTGCAGATGTTTATGCCCTCCGTTATATGGAGTTACACTGCGACTTGGTGCGTTTCTACATTTCATCCGACAAACAAATTATAGTCCTTTCATAAAAAAGTTTTATCCAAATGTTGCAATAAAATTACGATTATCTAAGCTTGACTTGTTTACGTATGCGATACTGAGGAAGGAATAACTTTCTTCGCAGTTTCCTAAAGCGAACAAGAAATTGATAATGGAGAAACTTCGAGAGAATTTACAGCCTGTTTACAAAGAGTTTATTCAACAGTACGCCCCGCATAAAGACACCGAAGACGATACTCGAAGTTTAGAATATGAAAAGCTCAAGTGAGTGTAAAATATTTATATACTTCTATCCCCGCATCACCTCCGTGTTTATTAAAACTAAAATTATATTTGCAGGAAGGCATTACGTCAATATATAGGGGACAAGATAACTGAACACGAAATGATCACAATTGCTCGACATTATTCATCTCACGAGAAGATAGAACACCGATCGAGAGAGTATGTGAGGTATGTGAATATCTTAATCTGAAACCATATATAGTATCCGTACTGCTAGAAATCGCTGCGATACTTTGAATAAAGAAAAATCTAACAAATCATAATTTGTTTTAATTAAATAATTTAAGCCAGTTATGATCAATGTGACTGTCAATGATTAATTCTTCCCGCATTCAAGATCTTGAAGTATTAATTTTGAGTATCGTGAACAAGAAGAAAGATTATTATTATTATTACAGTAGAAATGATGTAAGAATACTGATGTAAATTAATAATTTAAATATAAGAATCTTATATAAATCCTTCACGTTTTTATTATCTACTGCCGACATTTCAAAGAAATGACAAGTCTTGATTTATATATTCTATAAAATTTCTTTGATCTAAAACTTTAGAAACATAAGTTAAGACTTGTTATTTTTCTGAATTGTAAATAGTAGATACATCATAAAACGCGAAGAATTTATAATTCTTATGTGATTAAATTTTTTATTTCCATCGATAATTCTTACGTGTTTTCCGTTGTTAGAGCATTAATAATTTTTTTGTTATAACTAGTTAAAAGTTAGAAAGAGCACACAATTAAGAAAATGTTAGTAATTGATAATTAGTGCAGTAATTAATGAAATCGATTATTATTTTTAGATGTCTGCTGCACATGGAATTACACCGATTTCTATGGCACGATCTTGATCGTTTACAGGAGGATTTACATCATTGGGATGAAAATAGAACTGGATTTCTACCTCGGGAATCTCTGTATACGATTCTGCGCGGTTGCAGGATTCCCGTTGACGTGGAATTGTTGAATTCCATGCTGGATCAGTAAGTTTGGACAAAATTTACGACTTAAAGGCATTTCATTTGATATCGATTTTAACATATTACGATTCCTGTAAGCTTGCATAAAGCTGAAGACGGTACAATCGACTACAACGACTTGTTGCGGTTCATGAACGTCAAAATCGATCCCCTGCCACCTACTGCACCCGTGAACATGAAAGTATGTTGATTCATTGTTACATTTCTGTGCAGAAAAAGAAACAACGTTGCATTAATCTAATTGACATATAATAATAGTACTAATAAAACAAATGATATTTTATTCAAATTAAAATTGATGTATATTTGTTTCATTAATACTAGATTAACAAGATTATTTTCAATTAGACTCATACTGTTAATACATTTTTTCCGTATATTTTATTACATTATTCACGAGATATATTTTTATATTATATAATATTTTTATATTGAAAACAGTCTTAAAAATGTTCTTTGATATTTTATTATAATATATTTTCTGGTATTTTCGAAAATTGTATTTGTGCTAGTTAAGCTTTATTATTTTACTTTTCAATGAAAAACTGGATAAAAAAGAAAAATTTAAATATAAAGATGGAGATAAATCTCCTGAGGCATATAACTATTCGTTTTTTTTTTTTTTTGCAGACGGCACTTTGGTGGGCATCCGAGAGAGAGCCGGACTGCGGTGGGGGAATAAATTGGTGCGAGTTTATTAAGGATTTAGACATAAAGACAGAAGAAGACGTGACAGAGAATAATAGCAATACGGAAACGGAACTCGCATTGACACACTGAGCATTCTCGCGATCAAAATCATCGTGCGAAAATATTTTCCAATCTCGATAACAATAACAATATAGTAATCTCTCGAAACGCATATATGCATTCCTATTACATATTAGTATTCTTATTAGTATTAATATTTCAGTTTTGCCATCGATATTAGGCGATATATAGAGACGCAATAAAAATTTCTGCGCTCGTAAACTAGTGGCCGCAAAATCTCCAAATGGCGGTTGTCGCCAGTTTTTACATGCATCTATAAAGTTTATATACACTCCAATGTTGTAGAAAACATAACTGCGCACTGAAACTAATAACCAATACGTGCGTTATACCCATACCTGGTCATGAGGATGCTTGTTACAATCTCAATGAAGTTTCTCGGCGAGAGAACGATGGCGCGGTCCAAAGAGGCTGTATATGACGTGGGCGCGAAGAGGTTTTTCAGAGCTTCGGAGGAGCTTGAATCGTCAACTTTGTAGTCGGCAACATTTGCGTCGTGATGCGTATTTCGCAGAACACTTTTGGACGATCCGTCAAAGTGGAAGACGTCCCTTGATCGTGAAAAACGTGAAACGATTCGAATCTGCGCAACTAGCACGACGCATCTCTCAGTAACTGCGATTTCAAAATTTTGAAACGGCGCAATGGCGTCTACACTCTGCACGAACAATTGCACTTTTTCGCGGAATGGCCTATCACAGATGAAATGCATAAGGGTGCGTCCCGATGGAGAAAGAAATGGCGGAACGGAATGAGAACGGAACATTGATAGAAAAGAGATAGGATTGTTCTATCTCTTTTCTATCAATGTTCCGTTCCGTTATTTCTGACTCCATGTGACTGCACCCTAAAGCGGGGAGCACAGACTTTTGCATAACGCATAAAGCATGTGCATAAGGAATTTCATTGGCCCATTTTCTGATGCATGAGTCAATGGACCAATCAAATTCTTTATGTATATGGTTTATGCGTTATGCAAAAGTCTGTGCTCCCCGCTTAACTGTGCATAAGCATAACCAGAGAGAAACCTGAGAGAGGCCATGGCGGCCTTTTTCGCGTGATAGGCGAAAGCCACCGTACGCTAGCGGCACCAACATCATTTTTATAAATGTGAACTACGTATCACATTTTCGACACTGTCGATAAAATCGTAGTGTCGATATATGGATTTGGTGCTAAAGCCACAAATATAATATTAATTTACAATAAAATGTTTTTTTTAATCGGATAAGGCGGTTTTTTATAGATTTTTGAACGCTAGAAAACAAACAAAGCCCGCTCTCTCGCTATGTCCGTCTTTTTCGTTTGGCAGCCTTCAACGGCCGGCACGGCGAACCAAGTGAGCGAGATAGCGAGACGTTCGTCCTTGTCGCTCTAATAGCTTGCTTCAAGCGACCGCAAATGCTTTCTCAGCGATCTCGGTTGCTCGGCCTATATCAATATAAGAGACAAAAGCACATTCTAGATAACATATTAGTTTTAATAAATTTTAGTAATCATATAACCCTCTCATTAATCTACAACAGCATAAATCATGTCAAAACACGATAGTTTACGAGATATTAATTGTTTACGCTTTTCCGAGCAGTTTATGTACCCTATTCGTAAAAGAGTGTTGCAAGAGCTCTGTGTGGTATCGAGCGTATGGTGCGAGATCAGTACGCTGGAGATTCCCTGTTCCAAATCCTGTGGTTTTTTTATCCTTTTTTTGTCATTTTTTCTGAAATAAGTAAAATTATTAATAAACATATTAAACCAATGTATGTATAATTATTAAAGTCATGCGTGTATTTTTAAACCAACGATTGTAGAAAAATACGACACGTATACTGTATGCATGGAATCGATAAAAAACTAATAATTTTACACGTTACAGAAATTTTTTTTCTTTAAAGAAAATTCGAAAAAAAATTATGTTTTATTCTAATGATGTTGTCACAAATGTGTTTAGTAGATATCGATCAATATTTGCTTTTAAATGGTTTTTTTACAATTATCATTTGAATATATGTAAAACTTCTAATAATGGGGGAGGGGACAAAATTAAAAAATTGATTAAAAATATGTAGAGGCAGGAACTCTGCTTATAAATGATTGCATTGCATAGAAATCTGTGAGAACTAACGAGAACTGCTGTTGAAACTGATAGAAATAATCAGCACGTCACTTTTTCTACAATTTAGTGATTTCAGGGTGGATAAACGAAAATAATGGGTGGACAAACGTGGATAAACAGTGGACAAACGAATGCAATAATGATTTTACCAATATTCGCATTTAAGTTGCCATCTTCACAAAGCAGCTCTCTGAAGTTGAAATCTCTAAATACGAATATTGATAAAATCATTATTGCATTCGTTTGTCCACTGTTTGTCCACGTTTGTCCACCCATTATTTTCGTTTGTCCACCCTATGCTTAATACATTTTTCGTAATAGTAAAAAATAACCATTTGGGGATGTTACAACTTTTTTGGTGTATAACTTTTTTTGGATGGTGGACAAACGAAAATAACGGGTGGTCAAACGTGGACAAACAGTGGAGAAACGAATGCAATAATAATTTTACCAATATTCGCATTTAAGGTGCCAACTTCACAATGCAGCTCTGTGAAGTTGAAATCACTAAATTGTAGAAAAAGTGACGTGCTGACTATTTCTATCAGTTTTAACGGCAGTTCTCGTTAGTTCTCACAGAGTTCTATGCATTGCAATCATTTATATTCTCTACAAGTGTCGTGCTGAACTCAAGTATTAAAAAATTGATTAAAAATATGTAGAGGCCGGAACTCTACTTATAAATGATTGCATTGCATAGAACTCTGTGAGAAATAACGAGAACTGCCGTTGAAAATTATAGAAATAGTCAACACGTCACTTTTTCTACAATTTAGTGATTTCAACTTCACAGAGCTGCATTGTGAAGTTGGCACCTTATGATAAATGCGAATATTGGTAAAATCATTATTGCATTCGTTTGTCCACTGTTTTTCCACGTTTATCCACCCGTTATTTTCGTTTGTCCACCATCCAAATAAAAGTTATACACAAAAAAAATTGTAACACCCCCAAGTGGTTATTTTACACTATTACGAAAAATATAATAAGCGTAGGGTGGACAAACGAAAATAATGGGTGGACAAACGTGGACAAACAGTGGACAAACGAATGCAATAATGATTTTATCAATATTCGTATTTAGAGATTTCAACTTCAGAGAGCTGCTTTGTGAAGATGGCAACTTAAATGCGAATATTGGTAAAATCATTATTGCATTCGTTTGTCCACTGTTTGTCCACGTTTGTCCACCCATTATTTTCGTTTGTCCACCCTATGTTTATTATATTTTTCGTAATAGTGTAAAATA